CATTACCATTAAAAGTAAAATTCTACAAAATTCTAACAAGTTCTAAAAACTTTTTAAAAATTATAAAAAAAATAAAAAATTCTAATAATTTTTAAAATTAAAAAAAATCTTTAAAAAATTAATAATTTTTTTAAAAACATTAAAAAAATTTTTAAAAAATCAAAACTATTTGAGGAAACGTAAATTTTTAAAAAAATCTCTAAATTTAAAAAAAAATTCCAAAAAATAAAGATTTTAATACAAACAAATTTCTCTTAAAACTAAAAAATAATCTCAAAACTTAAAAATAACTAAAATAAAAATCTAAAACTTTTTGAAAATGAATAAAAATTTTTAAAAAATTATTGAAAATTTTTAAAAAATTATAAAATCATTTCATTTTTTTAATCTTACAATTTTAAATTTTTATTTATTTTGAATTTTTAAAAAATTTTGAAAATTTTTTAATTAAAAGTTTATGTTTTATATTTCTTATTTTTATAATATTTTTAAGTTTTTGGAATGTTTCAAATTTTAGAAATTATTTAATTTTTCAACAATTATTTAAAATTTTTTGAACTTTTAAAACTTTTCAGTTTTAAATTTTTAAAAATTTTCAAAAGATTTTAGATTTTTTCAGTTTTCTATTTTTTAAGATTTGTGATTTTTTTTTAAACTTGAAGACAATTTAATTTTTATTAAAATTTTCTTTTTTAAAAATTTTAAAAATTTTTAAAGTTTTTAGATTTTTTTAAAATTTTAAAACTATCGTAGTTTTTATAATTTGTAACAATATTTCATTTTTTTAAAAAATTTAAAATTTATAGAATTTTTTAAAGTTGTTTTGAATTTTGTAAAATTTTTTGAAATTTTTTTAGTATATGTTAAAAATTTTTTAGAATATTTAAAAATTATTTAAAAAATATTTATTCTTTTTACATTTTTAGTAATTTTTTAGAATTTTTATGAATTTTTAAAATTTCTTTATAAATTTTAAAAATCTTTTAAAATTTTTTTATTTTTTAAAAATTTTTTAGAATTGTTTTGAATTTTTTGAAAATTTTAAAATTCTGTTGGAAACTTTTAATAATTTTTAGAATTTTAAAAAAAATTTTAAATTTTTTTAGAAAGTTTTTAGAATTTTTAGTTTTTTGGTTGTTTTTAATTTTTACAATTTTTTTATATTTTTTAGAAATTTTTAAAACTTTTAGAAATTTCAAATTTTGTAATTATTTTAAAGAATTTTTGGAATTTTTAAATTTTTTTTGAATTTTTCTTTTGATGTTGTTGTGGGATTGATGATGTAACGCTAATTAGGTCTTTTTTTTTTTACATATGTTAGTAACTTATTGGATATTCATGTAACATAGTAAAATTGATTAATGGCTTCAATCTTGGTACTATTGTAAAAATGGAATGAAAGTTCAAGTATCAATTTGATAATTTTATTTCTTTATGTACTAAACTGATAGAAAATATATAGTTTATGAATCATTTTTATATTTAACCCTTAACAAAATAAAGACTAAATAATGAAAAGGTCAAATTATAATAATAATCCATATACTTTAACAAAATATGAAATGTAGTCTCTCTTCAATTATCCAATTTTTTATAGAATGCGTTTAGTTTAGGAGAAAATTAGATTATCTTCTAAAATCTTACTTTTCATAACATGATTTTTACGTTTGGTTTACAGTACCTGATTCCTTATAGTATTCTAAAATTTCCAACAATATTCAAATATCGCAAAATCAAAAAGTCATATTTCCTTGTAAGTTTTTAAAATTTTGAAAAAAAAAGTTAATTTTGTCTTACATTTTATCTTAATAATAAATTTTTTTTAATCTATTTTACCCTTGAAATTTATTATAATTGCATAATAAATAAAGATTCATTCTGATACGAAAATGGGTCTAACCACACAATTGAACACCTGACACATGATTGGATATGTAAAATATTACATATAATAAAAAATAATATTTTTAAAAGAACAAACATAATAGATAATTAGGGATGGGAATCCAACCCGACCCCGACGAGTTTCGATCCGACTCGACCTTATGAGGTCGATTTTTTTTTTTAATTTTGGGTTTCCGATCGGGTCGAGTCGGGTAATGTTAGGAAACAATCGAGGTCGGGTCAGGTTCGAGTTTTAGCCATACCAGGCCCGTCCCGACCCGACCCAATATTATATAAAAAATTATTTTTTAATTAATTATTTAATTTTTTATTTATATATATTTATATAATGATATTTTTAAATATTTATATTTAAAAAAATAATATTTTATTAATTTTCTGTGCAAGATCGGGATTCGGATACGATTTATATGGTATCGGATCGGGTCGGATTCGGATATGAAAAAACAAAAAAAAAATTTCGGATAGGATCGAATTCGAATATCTTAATGCATAAAGTCGGATCAGGTTCGGGGCGAGCAAAACCCGCCCCGAACCCGATCCGATGCCAACTCTATAGATAATTATAATTTTAGATTTTAAAATTTTTATTTTAAAAAGTATTATGTTTTTTATATATCAATTATAGTAGATAAATTAAAATAATATTAAAATTAAATAAATATTTTCATATTAATTTCATTTTTTATGCAGAAAACGTAATCATTGATATAAGGTTAGAAACACTACTTTTTTATTGAGTATTTTAATTACATTTTTTTGCCAAAAACATAGTATTTAATAACAAAAATCACTTTTTTGTCATAAAAACCGTAATCTTTAAAGTAAAATAATATCTTATATCTGCAGCTCCAGTTGGAGAGTTTCAATAATTTCTTAAAAATTCCTCGTCTCTTTGCTGGTGAAAGGTTTCATCAATCAGACAATCAATTATAGCAATCCATGTTTATGTCTATCTAAGAGTGCCAATTAATTTTTTTAAAAATTATCTCCATTCCATTTTTTTTTTAAATAATGAAGATTTTTATTGCTCTACCTAAAATGATAATTAATAGATTTTTAATTAATATTAGTAATTATTTTTGTCTTTTTTAAAGTCATTAAAATTTTAATATAAATTAATTTCAAAATAAATTTATCAATTTTAAATAAGTAATGAAAATTTTTACTATTTTTTTTTATCAAAAGCAATTTTACAGCTTTCTTCAATATTAACAAGATTTTTTTTCTCAAAAGAAGCATTGACAAAATAAAATCATGCTAAGATCAAAATCTCAAAAAGATTGCATTTGTATTTTCATAAACTTAGTACTTGTAATTTTTTTTTTTTTCATTCAAACACTATGTATTTTCAAAGAAAAAATGTCATCTTTAAATTAATGACTACATTTGTACATATATAAACGTAATATTTGATTAAAGTAAAAAATCTCATTTTTTTTAGAAATGTCATCTTTAATTAAATGTAATTGTTTATTAAATAATCATAATAGTTAGTAATTTTTAAATATTATATTTATTTTTATAGAAACGTAGTGTTTATTATAAACACTGTAGTTATATATGAAAAATGTAGTGTTTGATTTATTATATAACAAAAACATAGTTTTTAACTTTATGTTTGATTTTTTTTTAAAGATTATATTTATATTTACAATAACATAATTTTTAACATTATCACAAAAACGTAATGAAGCACATCATAGCAAAAAATTTTTATTATGTAATTTGAGATTTTGTAAATTAAATACAAAAATTTAAATTTTGACAGGAAGGATCATCCTTTTTCAAAAATTTATACTTATTTAGTATCATTTTTTCTTTTGAAATTTAAGATTTTTCAAACCAAATAGTCCATATTTGTTTTGTTATTATCTTAATCCTCGTCCAATTTTTTAAATTTTATAGAAAATGATGGTTCTTTATTATACAATTGAAACTAAAATTGTAGAATGCATTAATTTACAAGCAAATTAAATTAAGTAATAATTTAAGCATGATAATATGGAATAGTAGTGGGGTCAAATTAGAATTTAATCAGTTTATAAGTAAAAACTAACGGGGGCCGGTTGCACAAATATCTCAAACCTTAGGGGCTCGGGGACACACGAAAGTCACTATCCCGTTCTTTATTAACTCACGAGCTTCATATTTTGGTCAGGTTCGTGAAAATATCGCAGGGGCTCGTTCACTAGGGTTTCGAACGTTCCTTGACTGTTTCGAAGAAATTGCTGCTTCCGAAGGTAAATCTCTACTGTAATCACCATCTTTGCTTGTTTAATTTTTTATTTGAGTTTAATTTTCAGAGCTTTTTGATTGATTTTCCATTAAAATATGTGAAAAGAAAGGAAAATTAGGGTTCTATAATTCTTTTAATTTTACTGTTCAGATTCGACATTTTATTTCACTTTTATGTTAGCCTAATTAGTACCTAAGAGAAAACTGTAGCACAGATCTAATATTTAGATATTCTTAATGGTAGATCTGATTGTTGTTTGACTTCATTTTTTTGCCACGTAGATCGTGTACCTCTAATCTTATTTTTTGCTTTTTCTTTTCTTTTCAAGGACCTTGAAAATATTGTCCATTTTGCGCATTTAATTGTAAAATGAACACCGGATATCAACAATTTATTGCAGTTCTTTAGGACATGGAATTTTATCAATTGGTTAATTTGGATGCTTTTTTTTTTTCTCTAAAAGAATGCTTTTCAATTTTCTTTTTATCATGCCATTAATCAAAATTAAAAAAAAAAAATGAAAGTTCTGTAATTTGTTATGTCGAGAAAAGCTCTTCTTTTGGAGTTTGTTTCTGAAAATGATATTGCTGCCATATTTCAAATACTTGGGAAGATTCCCTTGCCTCATTGGTTTGCAGGTGTTTTGCCTCTTAATTCTTTTTATCTGTTTACTACATAGCTTTGGAATATCTGTTGATGTAGGGTATTGTTAATGCTGCTATACTCTCTCTTTTGAACGTGTTAGAATGCATTGGTACTGGATGGTTAACTTACTATTTTTGGAATGTTCTTTTGTAAGTTTTGTATATATATTTATGTGAAATAATCATGGAAAAAAGATGTCACATCTTCTGCTCAGGCAACATGAGACCCATTTTCTGTGGAAACTTTGAGTATGACGCACGTCAGTCTGATTTGGAACGGCTCTTCAGAAAATATGGAAGAGTAGAACGAGTGGATATGAAGTCTGGTAAGTCTGCTTGTTCTTTGTTATCTACATTATTGTTTATTGGATTCCATGTGAGAATTGTGAGTATCATTCCCCTGCCCCCTTTTTTTAATTTTCTTTCATGCTATGGCCAAAATTTGGCTGGGTGTGTCGGTTGTAAAGGTGTCTAGAGTATTGTAGGCTTGAAAAGCTGTTTTCTTATTGACTAGGGCACAGTTAAAATCTATTCCTTATGTTTTTGAATTTCAATATATAAATGAAGCCAAACTTATTGTTTACTGCTAAATATAATTTCTCACAAAATATTGTACGATGAATTTTCTGAAATAGTAACCATCTATTTCTGATATCAGTAATGGATAATTATATATACGAGTCAGAGATGAAAAGAGATGAGCTACCATTATGTAGTAGGAGAATCTCCCTTTGTCTGGATTTTTATCATGTTGGATTTGTTTGCTGTTGAAGATGGAGGCTGGATTTTGTGTATCAGTGTGAATATTAACTAAGCTGGTGGTACATTATTCAACATGATAGGTTAAAGCATTTTGTGGTGATAATAGGCTTTTATGAGATTTTATTTCCTATTTCTTGGTTTTTATTTTTTAAATATAATCTAGGTACTGTATTCAAAAACTAGATAAATCAGGCTTAAATTGAATACTTACCTTAAGTTTTACGCTCTTTAATAGTATATGTATTTAAAATCTAAAATATAGCGCAATGTGTATCCACATATCGCGATAAGAGAGAAAGGTCCTATCAACAAGGAATGTCGGTGTTGTACTTTCTATACATGAAGGTGCCAGTCCCAATGGCTGTGCAGCAGTATGACCTCTTAATACACAAGTCAGCAGCATCAATCATCCTTTGTTGAGTTTCACTGGGGGTCCAGGATGTGTTAAAAGGGGAAAAAAATTTTCTTTGAAAAATAAGCCCCCATACTCAACATTTTCTTTGGCGCAGGGTTTTCTTGGGATGTAATGGAGGGACTCCTCAGAATTTGTTTCATGCCTGTGACGTGCTTCCTCTTCTTGCTTTCAAGAAGAGTCACTCCTTTCCGCAATGGCACCACCATCCCTCATTTTCCTCAGGCATTTTCCCCTTTCATTCCTCATGATTTTTGCCCAGACCTCAAATTCAGACATGTTTCAAGGTAGAAACATTGCCGAACTCATGGCAGAGGCTGCAGAAAAAATGGAGAAGGCACACTAATTCCATTGACCTCCCATGAGACATCCACTTTTGGATTCTTGTTCCTTGACATCACTTAGTTCTTCACAAAAGGTCTGTTACTACTTTTACTGGTCTTAGTTTATAGATTATAGGGAGCTTGCCAAAATTTTGTCCTAGGGTAGGATTTAGGTGGTTTGTATCTTGCTGAAGAGGAAATGCCAACTGATTGAAGATTCCTTTGGCAGGACGATTGGTAACTTAGCTATCATTTTCCACCTGTATGAAACTCACAATAAGTCCAACTTTTTTGGTGTTTAGGATTTGCTTTCATCTACATGGAAGATGAGAGAGATGCTGAAGATGCCATTCGTGCACTTGATCGGACAGAATTTGGTCGAAAAGGACGCAGGCTACGTGTTGAATGGACAAAGGTAATGCTTTGGCATTGTTAGTTTTAACAGAGCTCTTTAAACTGCTTTTTGTTTGTTTTCTCATTTTAGTAAATGCTTTTTCACTTTGTGTTGTAGCATGAGCGTGGCATTAGAAGGCCTGGGGGTAGTTCAAGAAGATCTTCAGCAAATACAAGACCTTCAAAGACTGTATTTGTCATCAATTTTGATCCATATCAAACTCGGACTAGGGATTTGGAAAGGCACTTTGAGTCATATGGAAAGATAGTGAGTGTACGGATCAGAAGGAATTTTGCATTTGTACAATATGATTCGCAGGATGATGCCACCAGAGCATTGGAGGCTACAAATATGAGGTAGAAAGCCTTCCTCCTTATAAAATTCGTCAATCATTTCTCCTCTCAAAAGATGTCAACTAGATTTTATTATTTGTTTCTGAACCATGTTTTTTGTTCTGCTTGCAGCAAGCTGATGGATAGAGTTATTTCGGTGGAATATGCAGTTCGAGATGATGATGAGCGCCGGAATGGATATAGCCCCGATAGAATTCGTGATAGGTCACCTGAGAGGGGTCGTGACAGAAGGCGATCTCCAAGTCCCTACCGAAGAGAGAGGGGTAGCCCTGATTATGGTCGTGGCTCTAGTCGCAGTCCTTATAGGAAAGAGAGGGGGAGCCCTGATTATGGGCAAGGCCGCAGTTCAAGTCCCTATAAGAGAGAAAGAGCAAGTCCGGAGTATGGCCGAGGCACCAGCCATAGTCCTTACCGAAGAGAGAGGGCTGGTTCTGACCATGCTTTTGGCTCCAGCGGAAGTCCTTACAGGAAAGAGAGGGCTAGCCCTGAGAATGGCCTAGGCCCCAGCCGTAGTCCTTATGGGAGAGAGAAGCATAGTGCTAAAAATGATCGAAGCTGTAGTCATAGTCCATATAGAAGAGAAAGGCCCAGCTCTGACAATGGTCGTGGACCCAGCCATAGCCCATATGGAAGGGAGAGAGCTAGCCTTGAGAATGACCGTGGTCCCAGCCCAAGTTCTATGCCTGAAGGAAGGGTCAGTCCATATGGCGGTGAAGCTGAAAGCCCAGTCAATGAGAGATATCGCAGGTCTGTATCATTATAACCTAAAATTTTCTTTATCCTTTATGGTCTTAAGATTTGATTTTGCCTTTTTCTTTGGTCATTGAAACTGCAGTCAATCGCCAGCAGTTGAGGAATGATTATGAACAATTTGAGAAGCTATGAGGGACGACCTTTGTCTTTATGGCAGAACTCAGTCGGAAGTCCTGTTATTTGCTTTTCTTTGGTGACAACTGTTCCTGCAATTACATTTAGAGATGGAATCTTGACCTTTGTCTTTATGTAGTGCGTACAATTAAAACCTAGATTTCTAGTTTAGATGCAACGGATTATCCTGTTTATTTTGAATGGTGAAACTCAGTTTATGGAATATGTTATGTACTTCTTTTTGTCTTTTTTATGTGTTTGATTTCATTAGCTAACCTATTTTTTAATAATTGTCTTGGTTATCGTAAGCCATATTTGGGATTAGAATTTCATTTGTTAGAATGATGATAGAAGAGTGTGGCAATTTTGTGTATGGCCATGAGCCTGTGCTTTTGTTGAAAAGATTGGCTGTAAATTTTTGGATTGAAGATATGCAGTCATAGTATGATAGGTTGTAGAGGAAGATTTCTTCAATGATTCATGCAAGGGACCGCATATAGTTGGTTTTCTAGGTCGAAAATTAATTAGTTACATTTCTTTTATAATAATTTTTTTTCTCTTCTTCCGCATGGTTTGAGCTTATTTTTTGTTTTCTTTTGATATTTGAAGCTGCAGTGAGCCGGTGATTGAATCCTCGTGTTAATTGTTTTTATGTTGAGATATCTACATACCGCATTTAGTGGCTTAAAATTAGATACTTTTCTTCAACTTGAAAATTAGATGTCTTTATTAATTAACATAGATGTCCAATCATTGGATTACGTGGAGTTTATACATTCCTTGCACAATTACGTACCTGTAAAGCTTTTTCGTGGCTAAAAGCTGGATGCTTTTCTTAAATATTTTCCTTCAACGTATGTTTAGACGGGCTCTCACTCTCAGCGGATGGAAGGGGACGTTGGCGGAGTCTTAATCAGAGTGAGCCAGCATGGGAGGAGGGCCATTGCCCGTTGGTTTAGTCTTAATCAGGCTGAGCCAGCATAGCAATCTCCATAATATCAGCAAACAATATGTAGGAGACTTGGAACTTAGCTTTCTAAAGATTTGGACATTTGGTTTAGAGTTCCTTCGATCTCTGAATAATCAATAGTTGCTCATCTTAAAAAAATTGTTGGATAGAGTAACTGTTTGTTATTCATAATTTACATTTGTTGTCAATTCAAATCCTTGTCATCATTAAACCCTGTGAGCAGTGAGCTTCTCCTGTAGAATTAGAACCAAAACAACATTTTAAGCATTTCTTTTGTTGTTTCATTTGACAACAACATTATTAGAAAAACCATCTTCTTATAAGTGGATAAATGGCAGTCGATCATTGTTGGATTTAACCCAGAGTTGGTCCATTGAATTGAAGTAAGTTGCTTTCTCATTTCCCTCCTTTTTATTCCATCAATCAAGTGAAAGGCTGAAACCTGAAAGTAACTAATTGCTTATGGCCTAATTTTTCTTTCTTTACCCCTTCTTGCTTGCATAACAAATAAAATAACTTTCACCCTGTCGCAAATGAAGGCTGCCCAAAATTCAGCGACCGTTGAAAAAGCAAAACCACAAGTGGCAACTCAAAGTGCGTCCAGCAAAAAGCACAAGCTTTTCAGACAGCGCTACTACTATACTATACTATTATTATTACTATTACTAATACTAATACTAATACTATTACTATTACTAAACTCACTGAAAAAAAGGCTAAATCCTTTATTTAGGTCATTTCATAACTAAATTTTCAAATCAGGACTAAAAATTATCAGGTTGTTTCAAATTGAAATTTTTTTTGACACAAAGTTGATTGGTGAAATGCCCGCATCATTAAATTGGAAAGGGGTAAAAATTAAAGCTTTGCCAACAAAGATGAATAAGTGTCATTTGTCAATTTTTAAAAATGTGTTGATGGTGTACACCGGAATACATGTGTAGTAGATTATCCTGTATCGTAGTTGTACATGAATAAAACATTAAAACACTTGTCTTAATCAACTGTTAATTATCACATTCCAAGGAGATCATATAGTGTATTCCTAATACTAGTATATAAATATTTTTATTAGTTATCTAAATCACTTTCCATTTACCTATTTTGATATAATAAATTTTGAAACTATTTTTTATTTACCAATTGAGCGATTAAAAGAAAAAGATGAAATAGTAGAGTAGAAGGAAAAAAAATGAATCACAATATTTCGTATTTGTAGATTTGGATATGTATATGCCTTACACAAACAACGCCTTTCCCTTAAAAAAATTATTACTCCCCCGTTCCCATCGTGTCTTATTTTGATTTTGTATAAAATTAAAAAAATGTTAAGTTAAATTTGACTTCTGTTGATTATAATTTTTGTTTTCAAATTACTCCTACTTAGAAAAATGAGAAAAAAGTGGTAGTTATCGTTAAAGGATAATAAAGAAAATTTATGAAAAATTAGAATAAATTTTCTTTGATTTTTCAAATGAAATTTTTCTTAAGACATAAAGTTATACAATCAATATATAAATTATGAGATGGAGGGAGTAATATTATTTAAGCGTGACATCTCTCTTTTCACCACTCGCTTTCGGAAAAGCGGATCAGAGGAGGAGAAACCACCGTGGGCTTGGTGCATTTCTTATTTTCATGTAGGCCTTTACGCAACCACTCACCGCTTCGCTTCGTACAAAAGCTTTGAAAGCTGTGTATTTGGTTGATGTACTTTCAACTGCCTCCTACAGCAGTGTTTTCACATCAAATCCACGTTTTCTTTTGGCCATATCATCTTATCGTAGACAGGAGTTCTTATTTTATTTACACGTATTTTTTTAATTTTTTTAATATATTTTTAGAGATTTGTGTCATTTTGTTAATATTATTAATTTTACTTATAAAATTAAAAAAAATGTAATAACAGTGCACTAAATAATTTTTATATAATTTTAAAAAATATATAATATATATATATAAAATACTGCAACTATACTATTGCTGATTTGATTCCCATGCAGAAGCAGTAACACTCTTTCTGTTTTTGCTCAAAAGAATGAAAGAAAAAGACATTTTTGCTTTATAAAATAAATTAAACTGGAAAAGCTGAAAAAAAAAAAAGAAAGAAAAAGAACTGACAATATCTATGATGAAACATCAAGTTTTATAAACTTAGTATTTTCTTATTTGCTCTATATAACTTTGGAGAGAACTTCTACCTAATTAATATATATATATATATATATACGCACACGCTTTAAAAAATTAATACAAGCAAACCTCAAAACTTAGTGTATATATTATTTCATCAAAACATAAGTATGACGTCGATTCCAAAGATTCATACCCTGAACATTTGATTAAATGATAAAACGATGATAAATGCATGTATTCTCGCTTAAGAAACGACTTCAAATCCTTTAAATTGTTTCAAAATTAAAAAATAAAAAGACAGTTTTATAATTTGGAGAGAGTAATTAATTAATATAATTAAGTTCTGTGAATTTAATTACCTCTTGCCTTAAAGAATTAATATAAAGTTTCATGGAGGTTTCAATGCAAGGACTCTGGATGAGGTTGTTGGTAATTAATTAATTAAAGTACAATTCACAAATAGTGTATACCCATTAATTAATTAATTAATAATTCCCTTAAATTATGCTTGCTACATGGGTTGGCATGTGACAACGCATATAACACTTGTCAGATGTAATCCAAAACTTAGTAATTAATTAATAATAATTACAATTGTGTCTCATCTTTGAGAGTAAAGGCCAAATGGGAATGTGGCTTTAAGCGAAGAAGACAGGAAAGCTAACAAAGCAAGATCAAAGGGTGGCTTTACCCTTTAACGAACAAGACAAAAAGTCAAAAAGGAATCATAGGATCCTTCTCTTAATCGCTTAGTTAGAAAAGAAAAACAAAGTGTTCAAACCTATTTCAACAAGCTCAGTTTTAATTAATTTAGTTGATATAGCTAAATCAGCCTGAAACGTTTAAGCATATAATTCTAGATAACATCTGTCTTTCTCCCTTCTTTTTGAACTATAATTCGCTGTCTATGACTCACCCTATATCCCAATCAAATCTTCACAACAACAAAGTCTTATCATAGATTTTGGATCCATCTTTATGTAATATAGAAATGTGAAGGGGATTTTATTACTTTATCACTCATTATCAATCTTTTCCTTTCTTAAGCTTATCATCTCCTTTAGTATAATAAACAAATTTTTTTTTCAAACCCAAACTTAATCTAATTAATTTATACAATTACCTTTAAAAAATAACATTTAATAAATTTATAATTTAAATACTTATCATTTACATCCTTTTTATTATTCCCAAACTATATTCCCCTTTATATAATTTTTTTTTTTTTTAAGTTTTTAGATTAGCTTTTAGCTATCATCTAGCTAGCGACAAAGCATAAGACTAAAGATGATTAGGTAATTTAGTTAACTGGGCGGTTGAAACAAGAGCTGTAGTTTTAATTTTAGACCAACGAGGGAATTGCTAAGGCTGCTTTCTACGACATTCATTGTCTTTTCTTAGTGCAACCAATATTTTTTTTTTTTCAAAAATTTAGGAAGGATTGTTGAGATCACTAGCTAGTGTCAGCCTTTTCGTGTGGTCTCGAAGTAACAAAGCCAAAAGAAACATAGTGAGAGCTGTCTTTTCTTATTTAAACGGATAATCAAAGGACCAAAACAAATATCCAAAGATTGTATGTTTGTGTTCGCATGTATTTAGGAATAATGTCGGTGATGCCCTGATTCAATGATAAAGAAAAAGATTATGGGATTTTAAAATCTTAATTTTAAGTTTCAGAATTTGAATTAATTTTATGTTTATTTATCTTATTATATGTTAATTTGTTTATTTATTTGATTAATTGATTTTTTATATATAATATTTGAACATGATTGCATTTTTTTTATCAATAATTTCATAAAAAAAATTAAGAATACTTAAAATTTTTGTATTTTTTTAACAAGAGTTTGCATGTTTCTTAAAAGGAGACAAGTAAAACCTTATTCTAAAATTAAACAAGGTACAATTTTTTATTTTTTTTATGCTACAAGCATATCTAGCTAAGTGCAAAAACTGGAATTCAAGTGGAATGAATTATCATATATAGAAACGAAATAGAAATAATGAGTGTAAATTAGTTATGGAGAATTCGGGTAATGAAAAGCAATAATGGAGGTGACACTTCTTTCTTTTTCTCTTGCCAATTTTTGGTGCAAAAAGAAAGGCTTGGTTAGTTCATACTTGCTCCACAACCTACCCGAATTAAGAAGGAAAAATATATGTTAATAAAAACCAAAGAAAAAAAAAAGAGATCTCCTAAATTTTTTTTTTAATTAAGAAGTGTGAAATGCATTAATGGACCTAAGCTTTTACAACGTATGATGAATAAAATGAGTCCTAACCTTACAAATCTTCCACTTCTTAAGAAGAGATGAGACAATGATCATGGAGAGTACTAACAATTTCGGAATGGACGAAGAAAATATTAGAAAATATTTTTAAAATATGAAAATATGATTAAGTAATAACTTAATGAAAGAGAAATTTAATTAAACTAAAAGATGGTTTACGAAAAGTTTTAAAGATCAAAAGATATAATTCTAGACTTAAAAGAATCATGTTAATATGATTATACATGCGAACAGTCGATTGTCATATTCAGAGGAGTTGACTGTTATAGATAAGCAATCGATTGCCAAAGAAATGGAGTCGATTACTTTGACAAATAGAAGTTAAATTTAGATTCTGTATAAATAGTGGTTGATTGCCAGCCTAGTAGCAACCAATTGCTATAACAAAAAAGTGAGTGGAATCAATTCTAAACCCTAATTGAATCGATTGCTGTTATTTGTTAGTCTTTTGAAAATTAATCTATGCCATAATAATCAATTGCCATTAAAGTAGAATCGACTACCTTTAGGAGGTCAAACGTAGAACATATCTTAAATTTGAAAGGAATCGATTGCTCAGGTGTAGAAAGCAAGTGAAAAGAGTTGATTGCTTTGCTTCAAAAAGCATTTTGGAAATTGAAAATATAAAGGAGCAATCAATTGCCTTCTAAGTGGAATTAACTACTTTGTTTGAAAAATTACTATTTTTAGAAATGTAAAAAATTGTTTTTTTTTTATGAAAAGTTTGATTATTCAAATGAACAAGTATGTCTATAATATTTTAACATATTTTCAATAAAAAAAAATCTTTAATTAGAACAATACAATCAAAAAGTTTACTCTCTTCTTTCTTCCACCATTTCTCAATTGAAGGCAAGTTTCTTTAAAATTGTTTGCTACAGAAAATTTTGTTGAAGACAAAGTATTCCATTCTTACCAATGAGTGCTTAGTAGTTTGTTTTATTAATGTAAAATAAAAGTAAACAAAGTTTCATTATATCTTGGAGGTGTTTCGATGCACTTTTTTTTGCATACTATAATTAGTTGGAGTGACTTTTGCAACTCGCCTTAAAATCATTTTGATCATGTTTGAAGGTTCATATAATTCAACTCCAACTACACAAAAAGAAGGCTACACGAGGATCACAATATCTAAGTATTTGCTAGTTGATTTTTTATAATCTTGTACATCATTTATTTTCTAATAGAATATTTCTACAAATCAATTTTTTTTATATAATTTGAATATAATATTCGAACAATTGATTCAATAATTAATGCAACAAAAATGATAAAAAAAATTTGAAATACAAGATACATGCACGCAAATAATTGTAGGTTAAATTTCTAAATAAGTATTTAAGAGTAAAGTATATATCGATTTAAATGTGGAAAAAGTCTTCCATGCTCAAAACGATAATGGTGTAGGGGAATAAAGAATTTGTCTCTTTTACAATCTTTTTCTGACCTATTCAAACAAAATTGGTGCTGGGCATGAATTAATACTTGGGATTCAGCCGATTGTGGATTAATCAACTATCACATCGTTGCAAGACTTCTTAATAATGATGTATTTTCTCTATGATTATAGGGAAGCCATTCTAATTCTCTTTGTTTTATCATTTGTTTTCAAAATTCATACATTATTACCATTTTCAAATTTCAGATAGTAATGCTTTATATATATATATATATATATATATATGAATAATATTATAAATGAATTATTATCCTATATTAAGTATATATCTGAATTAAGATTAATAAAGTAAAACAACTATGGGGTTGATATTGAGCTAACGGTTATTATTCATCCATCGGAGGAAACAATGATCAAGATTTAAATACCTCTTCCCCATGAGGACGGACTTGTTCATATATACCTAAAACATTAACAAGTGAATTCAATTTTGTTTTCACTTCTATATAAAAATTAATCATAGAGTAGATCCACTTACACTATTCATTTACATGAGTGTAAGTTTTACATTATTAATCATTAGATCAAAATTAATTTTATAATTAATTTGAATCAAAATAATATTTTTAATTTTAGTCATTTTGATTTAGGGTAAAAAAAAAGAGACTTATTAATTTATATATTTGTACTGTATAAAATATTAATAATTTATATATTTGTATTGTGTTTTATATAAAAATTACGTGTCACAATTTATGTGGATACGAAAATACAAAATATATTTTTTTATTTTGTCAAACTTCATATGATTTTGATAAAATTTTAAATCATATCATATTTGTTTCTTTTGTATTATTTTCATATCATATTTTAAATTTTCAGGTTTTATGCTAATTTAAGTAGATCCATCCTCTTAATAATAAATTAATATATATTTGATTGAATTAATTTTGTGAAATAATTATATCTCTTTCTTCTTAGGTTGAAATTTTAATTTTTCTATAAAAATTAAAATTTGTAATTTGTAATTAATGATCAATTTCACTTTTTTTCTATTTAAAAATATCAAAAATTGAACTTTAATCATTTGAATTAAGAATTCATTATTTTATCAACACACCATCACAACTGTTAGAATAAAGTTTAGAATTTACTAGTCATATATAAATATATATATATATATATAATATGTGATTTTCTATTTAAGTCTTTCGGCATTGACCCGGCCATGCATGCTGTTTTTCCCTTGGCTTTTCCCTACTTTGTCGTTATCATATATTTTTTGGTCTTCTATAGAAGTAGAATCAAGTATATACTATACTTATTAAAAGTCAAGGTTAAGCTTCCAAGGGATCCACTGAAAAGTGGAAGACCCCCTAGCCACACAATGAATTAAAGTTTTTAATGTAAATTTCAACAAGGGGCAAAATTAAACAAACCCAAAAATAGCTAGAATGGTGGTGGGACTTCATCTACAGGAAGAATGCATTCGCATAGACTCAGTTTAAGGGTAACACTTTGGAAAAGAAAATGGGAACTCAATTTTTGGATAGTCAAGTAAGGTATAAAAATAATAAGCTCTAAACATGCAAAGAATTCCAAACTTTCCATTTGTAGAATTTTCCACACGTTTCTAATGACTACGGCGTTTTCTCTACGTAGTTTTTGGGTCAAAATTAAACGGTCCCAAACCATGGGCTCAGGCTCATGCTCTAGTCGTAAAGGGCTTGGGACGGAACAGTTATAGAAAACTATACCTACCAACCAACCCACTCATCTGTGGAAACATCACTGCCAGCCACTTGATAATGTTCTTTGGTTTATAGGATCTTTGTAGTGCAAAAGCAGGGCTTCATTCAAAACTCCCCCAACAAAAGCTGACTTGACTTTGGTAATTGCCAAACACTGTAGACACAACCCCAAATGGGTTTTGTAGTACATGCCCCCTTTGAGTCCCCCAACGCATTGTCCTTTGCCCTTTACAACACCAACAACAGAAAACAATAAACTGAAGAAAAAGTTTCCCCTGAGGGCCCTCCCTATTCAGAAAGGGCGTTAGGGAGTGCCAATGATCTGAAATTGGTACGGTCTTTCCTTTCTTTCTAGCAGGGCATATACTCTGCATTCACAAATTCAACAAGAAATTATCCCATATCCCCTATCTTTCTTTTTTCCTTTTTTTTTTTTTTTGGTTTTGTAATTGGCGTATTGTCGGAGAAGAATGAGAGACTAATGGACAATAGCTTCTTTGGACTGATCAAGAAACTGTGGTGTTAAACAACTAAAGTGGCGCAATCGATAAGCCGTTCAGCCACAGCGGACAATTTAAGGCTGGCAGAAGGTTATACATTAATCTTCCACAAAAGATACGTAAAAATTCTTTTAGTGTCGAGACAATGTTGATTGTCCTGTTACGCTTTTTGCACATTGCAAAAAGCGTCATGTTTGAAAGTCCAATCCCCTATTTTGTCCTTGGTCTCAGGACATTCAGCCAGCAATTGTGTGCTACAGCTTCTACCCGAAAAACGTCCACAGTAACACTTTTGACTCCTTTCTTATTTTAAAATCCTTACAGTCGATGCATATCTGTTTCGCAAATTCCTTTATTAGATTGCTAATATGAATTGAAAAGTTAGGTTGATGACATTTTAGAGAAACATAAAGAGAGTCGTTAATCTCGAATCTTAGTTCACAAAGTAATTATTTTTTCTTTCTGGCCTCTACTCCCATGTGCACCTCAGGCCGGCCACAATACGACAATTACGTGCTTACAAAATTATAGTGGGTTAGTAGTCTTGGCTTACATTACGTATGGATTGAGGGGAGGAGAATAAAAAGAAAAAAAATAAAAGAAAGTAAAAGAAATAGAAAAATAAATTTTTTATTTAGATAAATTTTCAAAGAAGTAAAAATTCAATAATTTTTAGTTTTTTTTATAATTTTTATTTTTTTAAAACCTTAATTTGAGGGAAAAGATAATAAAAAAAAGTTTAAAAAAATTTATTTTTATAAAAAAAATTATTATATTCATATATTTATTGTAATATTAGACTTGATTATATAACTAATAATTTTTTATGAGTGTTTTATGCAATATCACAGTTTATAAATATTTTATAATTTTTTAAGTTTTAATAATAAAACAAGTCAAATTATTATTTGAATAAATAAATTAATATATCTTACCATATTAAATATGCTTAATTTTATTTAAAAAAATTTGTTTATATAAACTAGATAGTATAAAAATATATTAATATATTATATGTTATCTTATAAAAAAAATTATAATAGAAAAAGATATTATAATAAATTATTTTTTATTATTTATTCAAACAATAATTATTAAAATTTATTTATTAATTTTAAATATCCAAATAAAAAACACATATTTTATTTTTATAGTTTTTTATTTATACATATCCAAAAATAACGTTACTAAAATGCGTATGAAGTTGAATGCAATTTGAAATCCTGAAAGAGCCGTCCAACCCACCTCCAAAAACCTACTATAAAACCCCTCTACGCCCCCTTCTACAACTCCCCCCAAACTCTCTCTTTCCCTCTCCTCAATCTCTCGGAGCATTTCACTAAAACAAAAAGATGTGCCAGCTTACATCCTCTCATCACTCCTGCAACTGTAATTCAAACGTTCCTTACCTTCTCTCAATCAAAGACTCGGGAGGGTCCAACATTTACAAACCGTTGATCCCCAAAAGCCCAACACCTAAACATGAAGAAAAATGCAACTTAACAATCCAGACCCAGAAGCTAGACAGGGCCGTTTCTGTCCCTCTTGCTGTCAAGGAAGCCATTTCCATAGCTAAGATAGCTCTTCCTATGATACTAACAGGGCTCATGTTATACTCCCGGTCATTAATTTCCATGCTCTTTCTAGGGCACCTCGGTGAGCTTGCCTTGGCAGGTGGTTCACTTGCCATCGGCTTTGCTAATATCACCGGTTACTCTATTCTTTCTGGTCTCGCCATGGGCATGGAATCCATTTGTGGACAAGCCTTTGGTGCCAGAAAGTATACCCTTCTGGGAATCACCTTGCAAAGAACGGTGCTTTTGCTTTTCGTTTCTTCGCTGCCCATTTCTCTTCTATGGATAAACATGAGGAGAATACTCATACTTTGTGGCCAGGATGAAACTATAGCCGCAGAAGCACAATCATATCTCATTTACTCTGTTCCTGACCTCTTAGCTCAGTCTCTTCTGCACCCATTAAGAATCTATCTTAGAACCCAATCCATAACTCTACCTCTGACATCTTGCGCCATTCTATCCATTCTTCTACACATACCAATTAATTACCTTCTTGTATCACACCTTAAATTAGGAATCAAGGGAATTGCTCTTAGCGGGGTATGGACTAACGTTAATCTTGTAGGCTCATTAATAATCTATATTCTCTACTTTGGAGTCCACAAAAAGACATGGGAAGGGTTTTCAATGGAGTGCTTTAAAGAATGGAAATCTCTGTTGAATTTAGCCATTCCAAGCTGCATTTCAGTCTGCCTTGAATGGTGGTGGTACGAGATCATGATTCTTCTATGCGGTTTGTTGTTAAACCCCAGAGCTACTGTTGCTTCAATGGGCATTTTGATTCAAACAACAGCTCTAATCTACATATTCCCATCTTCTCTAAGCTTCAGTGTATCAACCAGAGTTGGAAATGAACTCGGTGCAAACCAGCCCAAAAAGGCCAAACTCGCCGCCTCTGTAGGCCTTTATTGTGGCTTCATGCTGGGCTTTTCAGCACTTGTTGCTGCGGTAATGGTTAGGAACGTATGGGCTAGCATGTTTACAGATGATAAAGAGATCATAGCATTAACTTCTCTTGTTTTGCCTATAATCGGGTTATGTGAGCTTGGAAACTGCCCACAAACTACAGGTTGTGGAGTGCTAAGAGGCACAGCCAGGCCAAAAGAGGGAGCAAACATAAACCTTGGTTGCTTTTACCTTGTTGGTATGCCGGTGGCAGTATGGCTAGCTTTTTTCGCAGGATTTGATTTCAAGGGATTGTGGCTTGGAATGTTGGCAGCCCAAGGCTCATGTATGCTGACCATGATGGTGGTTTTGATTAGGACTGATTGGGATTTTGAGGCTGAAAGAGCTAAGGAGCTGACAGGAGCTGTAGTGGTGGTTGATGACAGCAAAGAAGTTGAGCAAGAGAAGCCACGCAAAGCAGAAATCAAGGAGGATTCTATTTCTTTATCGGCCGATTTTGATCATTATTGCCTCGTTTAATTAATTTTTTTCCCTTTTTTTGAGTTTTTTCTAACCTGCTACCTGTTTAGCTTAAGGCCAAGGGAGGGAGAAAAGAGGGAAGTTCTTTAATTTTTGTTTCCTACAAGGGGCAAAACTGTCTTTTAGACCTTATTTGCTACTTCCATTGAAATTCAATAATAGACAAAATGACCAGTAAAAAGTTGAATGTCATGGGAAGTAGCAAAAAATATCACTAAGTATGTTGCCACCCACCTTTCTCTGTATTGTACCCTGTTTCTAGAGTTGTACACCGAACTAGTAGCCAATTTGATTCAAAGTCTAATATGGTTTTATTTATTTATTTGATTCTTGACTAAGAAGACAATAGTTCATTCTATGTTTAACAATCACGAGAGTGAAACTTAAGTTTCGGATTCGAAACCGAATAATTAACAGCCCATAATCGTCCACTCCACTCAATCAGGCTTGCACAAAGAGGAATGAATGTGCTTAGTTTTAAGTCCTTGAATGAGTTTTAAGTTGTCCAATTCAGCAAAAGCAGGCATGGAGAATGCCAGCTGCATCATCTACCAAGCTGACGACATTGCCCTGATAAAACGTATTTCTTAATTGCGTTGCATGGCACACGAGCAGAGACGCAGCCAAAAAGATTTTCCACAACACAGTGGGACATATATATGAGGCATGATTCATGTAAGTTAAAAGGCTTGAAGCCACTGAATTAAGCTTGATTCGGTCATTGTGTGAACTGATTTGCATTTATTTGTGGGTCTAGACTCTTGATATAAAAGAATAAGCTGAAGACTCTTCAGCAATCCCATTGGGGAAAATTACAAGGAAATCACCATTAAAACATGATTATAGGTTTAATTACTTCCTAGAACTGTGCCTTGCTATAACTAACCAATAAAGTCTCAAATGATTTTTTAGTGTTGATGTGTTTTCTGATTTAGTGACTGGGTGTTTGCTCGAAAGTTACAGAGAGTAAATATCACCGACGCTCTCCTTACCCTTCTCTTTGTGACATCCAAATTAACTTTCCCTTCCTAATTTCAGCACACACCCAGACAGCAAATAAAAAACACATCAATAATAGCACAACTTGTATATAATTTATATCCAAATACTAGTATTTTTACCTTAGATGTAGAGAATTGTTCACGAGACACATTAAATTTTGCGTGGTATTTCACGCTATCCTTCAACAGATAGTGGATCTACATTAATCCTCTAATTTCAACATGTGAAATTTGTCATGACGTTAACAAAACTAACCTAGGAATAGCTACAAAGAGTAAGAGATGAAAACATTAATTAGATTTGTTGTTATGCGAACATATTAAGTGTCTAAAACCTTGAATTTTGAGTTTATATCAGTGGAAGTCAATGAGTTACACCACTTATCCCCATTTAAGACGGCCGGCAGCTGTCTAAAGGACTTGGTCTCTCCCCTCCCTGTTGGGTTGGCATAACATAAAATTATAATGTTTGAATATTGTTTTTTGGACCAAATTTTAGGTTCTAGTAATTTGTAAATGTGTGTGTAATCCTAAGCTGTATATTGACAAGGAGCGGTACTTTTTTTTGGATCATGTAATTAATTGTTTGATTTAAATGAGAGAGAGAGAGTGGTAGGCCAACCATATAAGCCTGAAAATGGGAGAATCTTTAAGGTGATAACCAAAGGAACATATGCAGATGCAGAGTGCAAGTGGCATAGACTCAGCTTGCAGAATCATTTTAATGGAAGTCAATCGAGCTGAGAGTGTGATGCTGAAGACAAAAAAAAGTAATAAAAACAAAGGAAACTTCCTACTTAATAACTAAAGTTGGGACCATGGGATCTAAAGTCTTGGAATTCCAAATTTGAAAATCTATCTGTTGATTTTGGAATTCTAGAAAGTTTTTATGCAATTATTCCTTAACTTCGTTGGAGCGTGTTAAGAAAAAAAATAATAATAAGAGTTGACTACTATTGATTTAATTTTTCTTTATTTACCTCAAGACTAAAAACAAAAAAACCAAAAACGTCAACCCCCATTGAACAAAGCAAACAAGGAGAACAAAACAATGTTTGGATTCCTTCGACTTGAGAATTGATTCTACCCGTTCGATTTCCCACTAATAACCATTCCTTCGTAGAACACTAAAAATCTATTGCGCTATTGCAATTTTAGATAGCTTTGCATATATATAATTGTTTGATCATATTTCATGTTACCTTCATATAAATCATCAATTAATAAACGGAAACACCAAAACAAATATATATATGTATTATCATTGAAATACTGTTTTCAAAGAGGACACATGCTACAATTACAGAAATGTGATAATGATTCATACTTACATGATAACGTTTACGTGGCACAATATTAAAACACACGAGATGAAACAACTATTAACATCAAATGGCGTTATGAAAATTCAAACCATTTAAATTAAACTCGAGTGTCAAAGCACTGTTCCTTTTTCATAAGGAAAGAATACAGATACGTCAAACATTTTAAATGACTCACATCAAGTTCTATGATGAAAGCTTTGTACTGATAGTTCAAGTTACGATAAATTATCGTGTTCATGATTTCAAAAAATAAAAAATTAGTGTTCATGGGAAGATACAGAAGGCGTGACAAGTGGAGATATTTAATCTGCATTTCAATAAAGAAAAAAAAATACTAAAGTTAACAAAGTCAATAATTATATAACCCATGAAATATAGTCTGCATTGCTGTTTTCAATTTTTTTTTTATCCATTAAATAAGAAATAAGAGATGAGATGGTAAGGTTCAAATTCTCATCTCACATACTTTTTCATAATCATTAAATTAAGAAACTGAAGACAGTCAACATTGTCGTTTATAGACTCATTTTCTATAATTTTGTTCTGTCAGACTTTGCCATTCTTATATCATTCCGCTAATTGCTTCCCAACATTTGTCATCAAAAGTTAAATAATTAGTACCTAATCAGGAATAAAGATGACTATTAATTTGTTAATAACACCCAAACTGCTCCTTAATTAAATTACAAATATATATAATTATATCCCTTTGACTTCGCACTTTAAATTGCAAATATAATCTATGATTCATGGGTAACCCTAATTCCGGAAAACTTTATTATTTTTCTGGAAATATTTTATTATTGTCAAAATCAAACACATTCTATAATTTTCACCATCAAGGTGAAAATTGTACAAATGTAGAATAGGTATACATTGTGGCTAGCTTGCTAGGGTATCCTGTATTTTTAAGGTAATGACAAAGACATAGCATGCAAGTTGGTTTCTCTTTTTATAGGTTTAATTTGTTAATTAATGCAAACACTATAGGCTTTCAATTGAAAATTAATAATTGATATCAAATTAAATGAAAAACAATAATACAAGTAATATAATAGTTTGAATTAGTGTTTTATATATAAACTAAACAGTAAAATTTAAAATCTTGACTAGTAAATTTGCACGCATACCACGTATCAATTAGTTTAATAAATATATTGATTGATTAATTTTTAAAATTGGAACTATATATGGAACACATTTCATTCATAAAAACTAATTTATGAAATTTTAAGCTCTATTAATTTTTTTAATAACAATAATAATAATTAGGATTGGTAATGGGTTGGGTGGGGACGGATTTTTGCTCGTCCTGACTCGATTTTATAATTATAAAACTTGAACTAGGCTCGAAATTTTTTTTTATTTTTTTATATTGGAACTGACTTGATATTGTATAAATCGTATTCGATTTGATCCGATTCGAAATTTATAAAATATTATTTTTAAATATAAATACTATTTTTTAAATATAATATAAAATATATAAAATTAAATAATTAATTAAAAAAATAATTTTTATATAATATCGAGTCGAATTTGTCTAAAATTCGAACCCGATCCGATCTTGATTATTTCTTAATACTATTCGACCCGACTCGAAATTCGATTTTAAAAAAAAATACTGACCTTATAAAATCAGATCAGGTCAAAATTTACCAAAAACGAGTTAGACTAATAATAATAATAATAATAATAATAATAATAATAATAATAAGACAAGTTGTCAATTAAGGTTTGTCTTTTACGGGAGATTCAGGATTTTTTTGTTTTAGAAAATATCCACTTCTAATATATATATATATATATATATATATATATAATATTGTCTGATGGATTTTTTAATTTTATGATAAAAAGCATATCGAAAAGAAAATTTGGAATGTCTAGGAGAAATGTTCTTGTTTTTTAGTTTTTAAGAATGTCAAAAAATTTTAAGTATCCAGAAAAAAAATTTTAATTTTCCAATTTATGAACATCCCATTTACAGTTTTTACATCTGCCCTATTTGTCTCAAAAGGTAAAGAGGAGCCATATAATTTTTAGGTCTCAAGTTTACCCTAAACCAAAATGTGAATTTTGTCCAACCGCATATTAATTAATTTTTTGATAATACTGCCAGGGGTTCATATAAACTTTATCTGGAGTTGTTTTAAACTTCGGACAATTTAATACATTTTTTTCACCTAAACTTGGTGCATTTACAATTTTATTTTTGAAATACTCTTTACAAAAATTAAAACCTAGTTGACAAAGAAAGATAATTCATTTTTTTACCAATTGGATTAATATTTTGTGAGTATTGTATAATGGTTTGTTGGTTGTTAGTTGACTTTCTTTTCATATATAACTAGAAATACTACTTGCACTTTGTTGTAGGATAAAAAAAAATTGTTTAAATGTTTTTAATTTTTAAAAGTTTTTATATTTTTTTGAATACTTTTAGTTGTATAATTAATTAAAATTTTTAAAAAATTATTTTAATAAAATGAAATGTAAGGTAAAAGATAAAATAAATTAATACTTAAATATTTTAATTAAAAATATGCTTAAACATTTTATTTAATGAAAATTTCATCATTTGGGCCATATTTAAATATATTTTCTTATCTAAAAATTACTTAAAATATCAATCATTCATGATTTTTAAGAATTTCATCATAAAATTTATTTTTATTTTTCTATTAAAAGTCTAAATTTAAATTCCAAATTTTATTTTATTATTTCTATAATTTTCTCACTTTAATTTTATTATTTTTTGAAAATAAATATCAATTATTATTATTATTATTAACATTTTTTATAAAAACTTTTTTCTGTCAAATTAAAAAAAAAAATCGAACCAAAATATTTCTTTAAAAATCAACTATTCCTAATTTTTAAGAATTTCATTTTTGGAATAATTTTTTTTTCAAATTTTTATTACATTTTGTTTTTGACTTGAAAATAAATATCAATTATTATTATTGAAATTTTATCTAATTTTTTTTTTTACAATTTGGATCAAATTAAAAAAAAAACTTCTAATCTAAAAAT